TATGGTGTGCCCAACACCAAATGGCATGCCTGAACCCTCACGCTAGACAGGTATACCGACTGAAACCCTGTCGGACCGGACTTACCAGCAAGTTAAATACCCTGGGCAAGCTATGCGGGCTACTAGTATCTCAAGGCTAGCTCAATAGAGTAAGACAGAATTTAATAAGAGGTGGACTTAGCGTGCTTCAGTTATGAAACATCTTATATATTCAGCATACTAACAATAAGAAGGCTATTATAGGCCGTCCGCGCTGCGCACGGAGAGCAACGCTGTTGCGTAGATTGAAGGCAGTTCACGACTGGAAGAAGCGCAGAGAAAAACAGGCGGCGAGAGTGCACGAGGAAAGAGGAGTGACGCGAAATACACACCTTGCGCACTTTCCGCGCCCTGCGCGGACGGCCTATATCGAGCAAGAATTCTCTGAACTTTTCCGTATCGCACTGGCAGAAGACTTCAACGGGAAGACAGTTGATTAGGCCACACACACACGGCTCGCAAAAGAAAGTTGTAGCATTATCTCACGCCAACCACCAGACCTCGGAAAAGAATTTTTTTAGCCTTGCTTTCAAATCGCGCGCTCTTTTCGCCATACACGATTGAGTATATCAATCTTGTGATAACCTGTCCGATAAGCTTGTGTTCGACTAAATGGCGCTTATTCTTGGTACTCGGCCCCGACTCGTCAAAAACGATATCTTCTTTGCTTTTTGCTCCAAATACGAAGTCCAGCCTGCTTCCAAACGATCTGTGCCGGGCCCTGTGAACCGTTCCTTACAATCATACCACAGGGATGGCGGTTGTTAACACGATGGAGGGTGGGGGAGGGGAGGGGGGGGGGGGTAAGTGAACACGCGCGCGTGCTTGCCTGTCATCAAAACATGATGAAATGGAGGAGGGCAGGAATTGGCATATAGAAATGGAAAACTTACAGGGATATGTTGGTCTTCATCTGTATTGACAGGCGGGCGGAGCCAGGTCAGGGCCCAACACGAGTCAGTTTCTAGAGTTTTTGAAAACGAAATCCCTTCTAACTTTCGAAAATTTACGAAGTCTCCTTTGACCCTTGTAAGAAAGTTATCGAGTTGGGAGAAGATGAAAATAGGAAAGAGTCACTAGTCTGTAAAGGAAAAACCTAAAATAAGAGTGAAAATACAAGTTGAAGTTGAATACTACGGATGCCCGAGAGTTTGGCATTGGAGCGCGATATCTGACAAAGCGATTCGTGAAAAAATTAAGGCAAAAAACAATGAAAAGGCAACTATATGAAAATGTTTCTATGCTTAGGGTAGATTCTTGATCGGGGTATCCGTCCATTGTAGAAAAATCCAAAACTTATTGAAGTAACAGAAATATTAGGTTGTGTAATAAGTTCTGTCCCATTTTTTTCTTTCAATTTTTTCTCACTATTTCGCACGATGTTCTGTAAATTGTTTATATGCATTCGAAAGCTCTAAGCCTTCTCCATTAAAAACTTCATTTCGGTTTTCTACATCAGATGACTTGAAAAAGTTTTACAGCGTCAAATTTGGAAAATCAAACAGGGAAAAAGTCCATTTTCGACAGCTACGTTACGTCGCCTTCCTAATTAGTCAGAATGCCTACGAATAAGCTCGAAGAATTTGCTACACGTAAGCAAAGAATGCTCTAGCTTCTATTGCGCTTCAGGAGTGCTGAAACTTTTCAAAAATCATTTCTGTAGACTTTAGAAAATTCTTCTTTCTGATGCCTTTTCAACGGGTATTGGGCGTCATCTGAAGGCATCCTAAGGGAAGACGGTAGGCGGGTCATCCAGAAAAGTCAGAAGGGATGGTTTGTGGCTTCAAAATTATCGAATTCGTAGGTTAAATACTCAAAATTTGAATTTTGGGAGGTCACACAGCTTGGGTACGCGAGACGGCGAAAATCGCCGTGACAAAGTCTTGCCTTGCCGGCTTCTAAAAAAATGTCATTAAATAGCCGGTGGAAGGAAGCGAACAGGGCAAACAATGATAGACTAAGTGTAAAAGTTTAATAGATTGTTGTGGTTGTTGTCAAGCTTGTTTCATAAGTTTTACCAATAAAAATCGAGAAAAATTTGAAGGAAAAAAGATGTCGAAAATTGATTTTTCGGCTGTTTGGATTTTTTATTTCAATGATAAAAATCTTTTTCGATTTTCTGCTATGTTAGGGAATGATGCATATGAGCCTGTAGAGCAAACCTAGAGCTTTCAAGGCATATACACTTTATCTCAAATATAGTCAACATGGGCAGGAAAAAACTAAAACAAAAAAATGGGACAGGACTTATTACACGACCTAATATATAAGCTCCTGCAAGACGAAGGCGGTCGGTTCGAGGTACGACGTGGCTGTGACGCGGCTGTGACTCGGCTGTGACGCAGCCATGTCGCAGCCGCGTTGCGCATTGAATCGACCGCCTTCGTCTTGCAGGAGCTTATATCGTCGATTCGTTGACCGCACGTGCTGGTCAAACGCTGCGTCCCACGCGTGGCGCGGCTGAATTGTCGCGAGAGCACGATTCGTACAATGGCGGGTTTGTACTGGGACAAGCGTTTAACTTCTGCGCGTGCTCCGCAGTGATGTCCAGCCCGTGCGGTCAACGAATCAACTATATGTTCCATACGATCTCTGGTGACCTTGAGACGGACTGCTCAGATAATCGCCGGGGGCAGGCGGCCATGCGATTTTTGGGCAAGCGGGCACCGGAAAAATAGTTCGCTGATTTCCTGCGGTCCGCTTGCAGATATTTAGAAGAATTTTAGCGAAATTTTAGACGAATGCTTGGAGAACAATCGCGGTTTCCTTATAGATTAGCTGCGGCGCAGTGGCCGCATTTTCGCGGACTTTCGCGAGAGTATGCAGAATTTTCGAGGGCCGCACGGTCCTTTGGGAGGACCGCGCAGCCCCCAGGTACATTCCGCTGGGAGAAAGTAGCTCAAACTTGAGTAATTAAACCAACGGTGACACCTCTGCCACACAGAGTCCTACTCAGACAATCGCTGGGGGCAGGCGGGCACCGGAAAAATAGATTGCTGATTTCTCGCACCCCGCTCGCGGATTTTTTGCAAAGCAATCAGGACTTTTCGGAAGACCGCTTGCTGAGTCAGCGGATTTTTGAGAGACCGCCTGTTGAAATTTTTTCGCTCTTATCTTTTGCAGATATATTGCTGAATCTCTGAGGAATCGAGAACTCAGCAAGCGGTCTTCCGAAAAGTCCTGATTGCTTTCCAAAAAATCCGCGAGCAGGGTGTGAGAGATCAGCAATCTATATTTCCGGTGCCCGCCTGCCCCCGGCGATTGTCTGAGTACCTGTGTTCGACGTAAGCCCGAAACCGCGTAAAAAGAATCCGAGCGCCTGCTGAAAGTTCGGCCAGCGCTCGCTGGAAGAGATTATTTGACGAGCGCCTGCAGAAAATTCTGTGTTGCTGCCCGCTGGCAGAACATTAGACAGTAAAGGAAGTACCGCTCGCTGAAAGTTTGGCCATGCCCCAAAATTCTGCTGACCGCTTGCAGAAAAGCGCGAGTTTGCGGACCGCCTGTCCCCAACGATTATCTAGTGATTGTGGAAAAGATATTATTTCACATAAGTTTTCGAAACATTTTACTTAATTCTTCCGCAAACATTTTTCGATGTATACAGTCCAATTTTGGTATTATAGGATTGCTTCTGCACTGTAAATAAGCAGTTTGTTTATTTTAGCGTTGCTTTTAAATCGCGCGCGCTTCGCAAGACACGATGGAGCATGTTAATCGTGTGATAACCTGTCCTTGAAGCTTGCGCTCGTCTGAATGATTAATTTTTTGAAGTGCTTCGCTCCGGGCCCCGTAAAAACGCTACCTCCTTTGCTTTTTGCCCAGAAACGAAATCCAGCCTGCTTACATACGATCTGTACCGGGCCCTGAACCAGGTGCCAGTTCATATAATTGAATGTGCTTCTCAACCAGCCATGCAAAGTTTTGGCATGTTTTGAGATCGCGACCCTATTTTCTATACCTATCTGCTAACACCGACTCTTGCGTCTCCTGACACGCTTCCTAGTCGTCGGGAAGCAAAACTGAGTTGGTTGCTTGTGAGATTTTAGTGCGATCTTCTTGCTTTAGAAGCACAACGGCAGCGTCCCGGGCTGTCACCAAAACCTTTCAAACCCCGCCCACTTCCTTGCGACGCCAACCCCTCGAACAAAATCTCGTCATTCGAGTGCTGAATTTGAGTTCAGCGCCATAAAAAGGCCTGAATAAGGCAAAAAAGGGAAGTGGTCTGCCCGGACGCTGCGTCTAACGTGCAGTTGCAAGGCAGTGGTATATGTACAATAACGCTCGTGATTTGTGAAAACGAAACCACCGCATTCCGCCGGAGTTCTCCGAACTTTGCGTTGAATCGCCATATCTTGCTTCAGAGTGACCGAATTCTGGATACAAAGCCACCATTCAACTCAGCTTGACGAGCTGCACTTTTTAATAATCAAATGTGCCTGTTTAAGCGCGACAGTCGGTCAATTTTTATCCTTTCACAGATTCATACCCACAGTAGGTTACTCAGAGTGTTCAATTACTGCACAACGATTAACCTGCCTTAAGCAAAAATTTGGAACCCTATTTGACCGATTATTGTGCCCGAACAAACATCTTCATACATCAGAAGGTGCAACTCGTCGAGCTGAGTCAAATGTTGTATATGGTTCCAAAATCCGTTACTTTGAAGATATGGCAATGTAATGCGAAGTTCGGCGAAGTCGGCGAAGTGGGGTGATTTTTTTTCACAATTTACAAGCGGTATGGTACCTAGAGCCTGCTGTTGTGATCTGAAATTCTGATGTCTTAATTTTTCCCACAGCTAGAGGGAAAGAAGATTTTCCAAAACGAGTTTATGTTGGTGTTCAGTATGCCGTTGCTGACAAGCCTGCATGCAATAACAGATTTTTTTTACTGTTAATGTTTTGCTATCTAACCTCGACTTTGGAAGGTCCATTCAGGAACTATGAAACTTTTCATTTCAGAATCCCCAGAACGTAGGGTGGACGTGCCTGAGCCATGTAAATCGCCCAATGCTACTCATTATACTGCTTTGTAAGAGACCAGTTCATTATGGTTTTGTCAAAATTAGATGTGTTAAGAAATGGCGGTTTTGCTGACATACCCACTCGCGACATAAAGGTCAAGGTCGTAAAGCAAGAAAACTGCTCAACAGAAGATTTCGATGAGGAAAACTAAAGAAGTGATCTACTTGTGCGGTGGCGGCTTCAGCTTTTGATAAAATCTCGTAAAAGTAATCATCAATCTATCATATGATCCTCGAATGGCCATTACTTTGCTCTACTTTTATGTCTGTGTCTTTTTATCAAGTGCGTTGTTCTTCATTATGTAATTATCGATGTGCATAAGGTGTTCAGCTGTCAATTTCCGTACAGTATGCCGTGTATCATAAATCATATCTGAAAAAGCATATGAGCAGTCCTACTGATCGTTGTGGTTTTCAAAACATTGGAGGCGACCGAATATGAATTTGTCCGGAGATTCTTATTAATATTAAGCTTTAAGCATTAATCTGGAATACGTAACAAATGTTGCCGGAATCCTAGCAACGGCTCTAGTAAACCTGCGGGCAAATGACGTAGAGGTTGCCTGTGGAAACGAGTAGTTTATGGCAACGAGCGCTTTCACCATTCAAGCTCTAATGGCAGAGAAAGGTTAGTCAAATTAATATTCCTGATTTTTAGCAGCAAGAATTCGCTTTTTATTTACCAAAGGAAACACTCGCTCCAAGTTAATTTGAGTGAAGATCATTTCAGAATCAGTAAACAAGGATGAACCTACTTTTCCATGTAAAATTTGCAGTCGAAAATTCATCCGCTCGAGTTTGGTAAGTCTATTGAAAAAACGCTGAATAATCTTTTCACCACATTTCTTTTCCTATGATTTATCTATGTTTGTCCTTGAAATTGTAATTGGCACTCACAACAAACATAAGTTCGATTCTTACATGGTAGTATGTGGGAGGAAAATGGGTAATATCACGTTGCAAAAACAGAAGTGGTGTTTGCGGAACCCTATGGTTTTCGACCGATAATTCTTTCCTAATCTATATTTCGCTTCTTTACCATTGATATTGAGACTTAGGTACGCTTAGAAGGTGTGAACGTGGTTCACTGGGCACTGAATTGCCTTGAGAATGAAATATAGTCAGCATGTGTCCTTCATGCAAAGTTCATTGTCACAGTATCTATCATTTTTTTGTAGTTTTCAATCTCAAACTTGTTTTTATCTGATTGTTTCACTCCGAAAAATACAATCTTGCCACCAGTTATCTGTTTCCACATTCAATCTCTTCCTAATAATCATGGTACGACGGAGGAACCAGGTCCCCTCGGAAGGGGATTTGCATTTTGGGCTTTCAAAAGTCAAGGAGTGAGTGACTAGTATGCCACTTGGTCCTCGCCTCAGTGCTATGATGCTCTAACACACTTTATCATAATAAGTATTAACAAGATGTACATGCGCAGAACCTCGGACTGATTCTACCAGCTTCGTGCCATCATCCTGCTCGCGGTTGGAATAGTTTGCTTTGGAACTTCCCAGTGTTGCAGAGTATCAACGCAGAAGTAAGGAATCAATCCCAAAAGTCTTCCATGTATTAGGCTGTATCAAGTTCTACCCATTTTTCAAATCTCTTCTATGATTATCCTTTTTGGAGGGAAACGCATTTTTGTTAGCATTGCTTCACCTGAAACCAAATATCACCTAAAAGCGTTTTTTCTAGTCTATGTTCTCATTTCCATAGAGTTTTGTCCGACTTGTACTTTCGTACAAAGACTGCAATCTTCAGTCTTCCTTTTCCAAGAACAAAAGCGCCCTATTTGTATTCGTACGAACTGGGTGGTGGAGTACTTTGAATAGTAGAATCCACAGACCTGATACGAATTTTTTTGAGGATGTGCTAAGGGTCTATGTTACAAACTCCTCAGTGAGATACGATTTTCAAAATGTTGAACTTGGAATCAGCGTAACATGACCTGTTGTTGTTTGTGAAAGCCATATGCGCAATGCGACAACGGATTTTGCTCACTGCAGCGAATCTGTGCCTAAGATGTCTAATACTGGAAAACCGATTACACACTTTCAATTCTTAGCAGAGAAGAAGTTGACATTGGCCATTTCTTACCAACCCGGTCGTGAAAAGAGAGCTTAGAGAGTCCCAATTAGTAGTGTTGATCTAATCAGATGACGCTTTGGAAGAGTTTAATCGATTAATGATGAGAAAAAACTGGGGCTTTAATTTCTGGTCGTCAGAGAGAGCTCAGAAAGGTTCAGTTGACCAGTGAGAATTCTTAAGCTGACGGTTCTACTACCTTCTGGTCGTCTTACGAAAAGGGAGCGTAGAAGGATTCAACTATTCAGTGAAAACCTGCAACTAGCGCTTTTACTACCGCTTGGTCGTCTTAAAGGCAGTGTCCGGGCAAAAACTCGATTTCTAGAAAATCCACTTATTGGGGGTTATCCGCAACGCTGAATCCGAAAATCCACATTAGAAGGCGTAAAAACGGCGAGCACATACGTCTTCCAAAGCCGCACAATTTGAAATTCGACGATCCCCACCAATGCAGACGCAGAGTCGCTGCGGGACCCTACACATTTTAACTGTGGCGGCATGCGTACTCTGCCGCACAGCAGAAATTCGGATAGCTCGGAGGACCCCGCCCCAAGGCGTAAGTTTCCCCACTTTCCAGTCTTCTCCTTGCTTTAGGTCGAGCGTTATGACGTCGCACTTGCGCGATGTTGTGTCTGAGGGGGGCCACTCTCGTATGGCACTGAAACAAAACCCCCATTTTGCCCGGACAATGCCTTTAAAAGGTGTCAGAAGGTCCCAGTCAAGCTAGGTGGAGCTTATCCACACTGATGGTCTTCTTGTTTATCCTTTTATCGCTATCACTTCGTTTTTGAGGGTTCCCTGTTGCAGTGAACTAATCTTATATAGATGTGGTTTGGTGTGGGTGCCGTTTGTTCGCTGTTCTACGAAGCTGGTGTGGTCGATTCATTGTCGAAGAAAGTTTCTTTTTGGTCTAATTCCCGCTACGGAGTAGTTTATGTCAAAGTGAGCCAAATGTGCTCAACGAAGCTTTTTTATGTTACATTTGATTTCGCCGGGGAACGAGGTTTTTTTGTGTTTATCCCTAGTTAGTTTCAAAGCTATGCTGCTAACTAGATTGAGTTTGTTCTTTGTACTTTTTTGTTTTTGAAGCTTTTGTTTTTTTTGTTTTGTTATACTGTAGGACAGTAGCGCACCCAGGATTTCCCTTTGGGGGAGGGGAGGGGGAGGAGGCAACAAAATTTTTTCTGATAAAGGTGCATGGCGTTAATCACGCGCTCCGAGAAAATTTTTGAATACACTTCCCAAATTTTTTGCACGCCCTCGAAAAAAATTTCATGAGGCTATATTGAACTTAATAAAAATTTAAAAGATTATTTCAATCATTTACAAGTGTAAACAAGTCACGTACACATTTTTGTTACTCATGTATGTAACTTTCAAAAATTCTCGCTCATTCTGGGGTAGGGGGGGGGGGAGGGGTCACAACGATATCCTCCTACAGCAGCGGCGTACGAGGGGGGCGGGTGCCCTCCCCTCCTCCTCCCCTCTTGTACGTCACTGCTGTAGGAGGATCTCGTTATGAAACAAGATCTTGACATAATATTCTTGCTTTAATGCTAATTTGAACGAAGTCTTCCGAAACAGAGTCAAATGATGTTTTTCCGTCTTGAGGGTCGCCTATTGTGAAAGAGTACAAAAGCATTGCTTGCAACACCGCTCATCCAGCTAATAGGCGAGTCCCAAGACGGATTTGACATCAAAAAGCTCCGCATCGCATGTCATCGCATGTCGCATATTCAGCAGATCAAAACAGAACCAAAAGCATAGTGCATCGCAGCTTTGTTCCACAAACCCCGCTCCTACAGCACAGTAAAACAGCTTCAGAAACAAAGAAAGTACAAAGAACATACTGCAACCTCATCTTTTACCAGCATAGTTATCGTCAAAAAGGAAACTGAATCAAAAAAATATTTTTTCGCAGAAACGCAGCTCAACCTAGTAGTTTCGAAACTTAGAATAATCTGAAGAAACCTATTTCTAACGAGATCGGTCAACTAGCATAAAATAACCTTAAAAATGAAAATTATACGAAGTAGCTCCGTTCATCACTACTTCACACATTTTAGCATAAACGAATGGCCGTAGCGGGAGCTAGACCAAAAAGAAACCTCCTTCGACAATGAGTCGACCATACTGGCATCGTAGAACAGCGAAAAAACGGCAACCACATCAAATAAACCACATCTAACGTGAATTCTGTATAACACAGAAAAGAACATTTAAAACGAAAGAATAGCGACAAAAGGGCCAAAAACTATGCAAGAATCCTATGAGTGAGAATAAGTCCCCTCTACGCGCCTCACAGACAAAATTTGAGCCAGTGCACTTCGGCTGCGGAAGCAGCTACCGGCTGCTAGAACGGTATCTAACCGGCGCGGTCTAGAGCAGGGTCGAGCAAGAGGTGTGGCACACAAGCGCCGGATACGCCCTAACCCTCCCCCTATATTCTGTCTCAATACCTCCCTCCTCCCCCCCCCCCCCCCTCCCGCCAGCATTATCGTTTCCCTTCAGGCATGACATAAAGGCTCTACCATGCATAATTGGGCACATATTCGTAATTATCATGTCAATCAACCCCATGCGCCAAGTCTTAGCAAATTCTGAGAGTTTACAAAACTGGACCACCCTAGTGAAGTGGTCATTTCCAAACTTAATCAACTATAAAGGGTCCAAAAAATGTACCTACTGTTTGATTCTAAATAACTTTCTTGTAATGAAGTGTTTCGAGAAGCTTAAGGTGCCATTTTGTAGAGCGAGGTTGAACTATTTATAGTATGGAGCGAACTTGCAGCACTTGGGACTATTGCGAAATATACCACCTAACAAAATTTCTTTCAAAAAATCTGCAAAATTGTGTGCTAGGGTTTTTGCGCATGCTGATCCCACCTAACAACTTTTTATGAGTTTTTTCAGCTTTTTTGACGGTGTGATTACATTTTCGACAAATGCTGGGATCTGAGTTATTACGATTTACCGGGGATAACTTGGGAAAGAAGCATCACAGTAGAATGGGAATTTCAAATTCGAAATCAGCGGCTCCCATTACCGTAGTATAGGAGTTTTTGGCTTGTTTGGCTTTGTTTCAAGGCAGCTATGGCCTCCAATAGCCTAAAATCCTTGTCGAATTTCGTACCTTAATCCTGATGAAGAGCAAGTTTAACCTCGCTCTACAAAATGGTACCTAAAGCTTCTTGAAACGCTTCATTACAAAAAAGTTATTTACATTCAAACAGCAGGTACATTTTTGGGACACCCTGTATTTCACAAGTGAACTAGCTAACTCTTTTGTACTTGATACAAAGCACTACTCCCTATTTACCCATACCATGAATCCTGCTTCAAACAACCATCAAATTATGGAATAAGAAGCTGGCCAAAATCTCGTTTGTCCCATCTTTGTCTGGTTTCTATGCTGTAGTGGGGTGCACATATGAAAACAATCGTTTTCGCTCCGTATTCACGTGTTCTTACCTCATATGGGCATCCTCTTTTGTCCAGGAGTAGCCTTTGAATCGAAGAATGAACTGTGAATATATCATATCTGGCTTATGAAATTCCTGTCACCCTCGCAAGTGCAGGCGCATGCGGAACGGCAAGATACAATAACGATTCAGAGTCATATGTTTAGTAGCTCCCATGACTACTACCAACTATTTCTCAGATCAAAAGCAACGTAAACTTGCGAAATATCATTTTGTGGCGATTACATTGGTCATGGTTTTAAGGTGAAACACGAGCCTGTTTGTAAGAAAATCACCAAGCTACACAGGAAACCCTTCGATTCCGGCAAGCAAAGAGCAACAGGTAGTGATATCACGTATGCCGATGTAGCTCGAGCAGCAAAGGAACGCGAGAAGGTTGGTTGAAGAGCATTCAGACTTTGATAAATGTTGATAGTTTGATAGTAATAAATTATGTTGTTTCACAAATTCGTAGCGTTTGCATAAACCAACGAAGCCAACAATCTTCGTTCAGTCTCGTATACGGTGGCTGCTAAAATTGCGGACAAGTCGCTTTTTTTCCCATTGCTCATTCTCAAATGGAAAACAAGGAGAAAAAATGATATGGTTGTTTGAAGTGATAGAGCTCTTCAGGAGCTACAGATACATTACGCATTCTGAGATACGTGATTCTAAAAACTCCAAACTTTTCGCAAAAAGATCTCAAAATCTTTTACTAAAAAAGTCCGAATGGCCGCGTCGCAATGTGCGGAAGCAATTTTTCAAAGGCGGAAATTTTCCTTTGGGCTCCTTTTAGAACGAAAGCACAAGTAAAACAAGAAGATGAGCTCACTAGTATATGGCTCATTGAGGACTATCTGGCTATGGTCACATTCTTGAAAAACACAAGCTGAATTTTATCTTGCGTTTTTTAGGAAAACAACTTCTGACTTCTTCAAATTAAACTTTCTTCCTTTAAAAACCGTTTCAGTACATTCTAATTAAGAAATTTCAATAAATGCTCTTACTTATTCTGCATGCATACGGGTGTTGATGAGTTACCTTGCTGAAATGACTCTTGTTAGTGCGTGCACATGAATTCACTTGCACCTCCTCAGACTTGTGCTTTGCAGGCTATAGCTCGGCCAGCAGTTACTCTATGAGCCTGTAGGTAGGCTCATTTGAAAGAGCGATACTTCCTGGACATGATGGTTGCAACAGAAGTATGTTTGAAGGCAGTTTCTCGGCAGAATTTCGCTTTTTTCACCTTTTCGGAGCCTTCTCGCCATGACGAATCATATCTGGGCTTTTCAGCGCATAAAATGGCAAAATGGATCTTTTTTTGAAGCTTTCCAAGTCCGGATCCAGTGAAGATACGCCGGAAGTCTTTCGCGACCCGCCTCCCTCTTTACAGGCCCCGCCCACTTGCAAAGTATTCTCCAATGATTGCGGACCTGGGGAGCTTCGGAAAATGCTAATTTACGTCTTCTTCATGCGCTGAAAAGCCAGATATGGATTCCTCATGGCAAAAAGGTTCTGGAAAGATGAAGAACTGGAAGACGAAATTCTGCCGAGACACTGCCTGTGGAAATTTTGAGAGTGGGTTTGAAAGCCGGCTCAATGAGGTATGAAATTTCCCAGATAAAATGTTTGAGCAGAGCTCCTTTCATTACCAGTTTCACGCTGGGTGTTCGGAACTGACATTCTCTTACAATTATTCGATATGGTTTTGGTGTTGATAGGAGCCCAAGCCAATTTCACTCCAATCACCGCTGAGGCTGCGCTTTTTGAACCCTTTCTAATTTCCTAGGATACTCAAACTTATCTCTGTTGCACACTGTCGTGTTTTCGAAGGTGCCTACCTACAGGCTCGCAGCATGAGTGCTGGTAAGCTACAAGCGTGCAGTGCAATACAAGTCGGTGGTGAGGTGCAGGTGAGGTTATTATTACCATGGGCCCTTTTCAGCAGAGAAACTCATCAGCGGAAATCCGATGCACGCAGAATAAGTAAGAGCATTTATCTCATTTAGATTCAAGCTTGTGTTTTCGAGGGATTAACCATAGCCAGATTATAGTCTTTAATGGGCTTTATATGATAGTGTGCTTACCTGCTGGGATCATTAGTGTTCTCGCTTTGAAAAGAACTCAAAAAGTTCGTGTTAGAGAATTTGTTGTCCGCGGCATTGTGACGCGGCCGTTTCTGGACTTTTTTGGTAAAAGATTCTTAAATTTTCCTCAAAAATCCATATTTTCCAGAGATCGTTATATGTGGTTTTAGCTCCTGAAGAGCTGTATTTGCTGGTCATAGCTATAAAGCCACCATAAAAATCATTGTTTCACCTGTCCTAAACGAAATTGCCCGAAAAGCTACTATTTTGTGTACGAACAAAGTTATATTACTGACCACATCGGCTTCCAACTTCACTGATTCTGACCGGAGAAAAATTGAAAAATTGAAAAAAAAAACGTACCGAAGGCTGGTCACAGCTATAAGGCCACCTCCCGTTTTTGATCGCTACTACATTCCATAAATTCAAATTTTTTTTACATATACAACGTTAAAATATGAAACATTTCTACACCAGGGAGCTGTCGCCTTTTGAAAAGAAGATTTGTGCTGCATTTTTTGCTCTAAAATGCATAAAAAGTTACTTTTTTTGAAAAAACTGCTTGTTTATCGAATTTTGAAGCACTTGTTTGACTTGTATAAAGTTGGCTTCGTTGAGCCTTTGCAATAAATACGGTGAAAAGCGCTTGGGTCAACATTGCGTAGTCGCTGGTAGTGACATACGAGCTTCAACCTCCCTACAAGTAGAGAGTTTTCGAACCGCAGAAATTGAGTTCTAATGCCAGAAAAGCTCTGCCATGTGCTTAACAGATGTTACCTGTACAACGATAGACTCGTGCGCATAGCGTGAACGTTATCGCAACTCTGAGGATCCTGCTTCCGGTTCTGGTTTTTTTTTTTCAAAAATGAGTAGTGCACTTTGCCTGATCATGCACACTCGGACAACTCGATCGGGCGAAAAACCGCTCATAACTTTGAAATTCTAGTACTCCTTACAGTTCTGTAAGATCTGACTTGGTGAGGAGTTCAAAGCAGTAAAATTTGAAGTTATGTGAGATATAATGCGCACAACCAAACTGCAGATAAAGCGTTCTTACTGCAGTGTTGCAAATACGTCTTTGCAAAAATCTTGACAGCTTCTGCATGAGTATGTCGCCATGCAAGCAAGGTGTTAACTTCCGACCAAAAGTTTTCGCGCGTCAGTAATCGAGTTTTGTGTTTCAGAAGCATGCTACACCTCGGTAGGGTAAGGCTGGTTTATCAATATCAGCGACTACGCAATGTTGACTCAGACGCTTTTCACCATGCTCATTGCAAAGGCTCAGCGAAGCCTATGTTCACACGCATCAAACAGTTGCTCTAAAATTCGGTAAAAAAGCAGTTTTTTACAGTGTGACTTTTTATGCATTTTAAAGCAAAAAATGCAGTACGAATCTTCTTTTCAAAAGGGCGACAGATCCCTGGTGTAGCGTGTTTCATATTTTGATGCTGTATATGTACAAAAAAATTTAGATCTAAAAAATGTAGTGGTGATCAGTAAGTAACGGGAGGTGGCCTTATAGCTGTGACCAGCCTTCGGTACATGTTTTTTTCAATTTTCCGATTTTTCTCCGGTCACAATCACTGAAATTATTAGATTGGTGCAAAAGTAATGTGCGTTTCTAGCCCTTATCTCAGTAACACATTTCTCTATCAAGCTTTCTCCTTTGGAAAAAATCAGTATACTTTCAAGAAGCTCCTTTCATGCCCTATCCAATGATGGTTGGAAGGAGCTTCTAGCCCTATTCGCTAGAAGTTAATAGAGCTTCATACAGCCGCACTCGAAACCAGAATTTCATTGCACTTAATTTTTTGGCCAGAATTCAAGCGCGAATAAAGGCATCCCTTTGAAAATTCAACTATCTTGTTCAATAGATGTCTACATTACGCATACTTTACTATTTTCTTAGAGATAACCTAGATTGAGATTTCGGCGCCTCAACATGAGTGGTATTGGCCATTCTGTGGCCCTTTGCAGAAATGTGGGAACTGTTCAGTACACTGAAAATCAAAAATTTCCATATTTTGGGATTTTGAGGCCTACGAAAAGATGTCGAAAAAGCGGACAATTTTGAATATTAATTTTTCTCCTTTTCGCAAATCTTCTTTGTTTAAGCACCTTTCGACTTTTTTGTACTACTAGCTTGCGTCTACAAGACAGGCTACTTTCCAGTCACAGTAACATATTTTGAAGGGAGTTATGATCAGTTAAAGACGGAGTTTAGAAAAAAACTTTTTTTGCTTATCAATCTATATTTTTGGCGATATGAGCGCGAGCTGATGTGCGCTGTATTGAGAAATATTTGATGCCTCTGACGGCCTTCACTGCACTGAATATGGATTTTTTAGAAAGTTATAGTACGTCAAAGTGAAAACCCGCAAAACGCGCATTACTTTTGGATCAACCTAATAGAAGCCATTGCGGTCAATGATATAATGTTGGTTAATACACAGAATAGTGGCTTTTCGGACAATTTCGTTTAAGGGCAAATTACAATGATTTTTAGGGTGGTTTTATAGCTATGATCAGCACTGTATGAACTAAATGTTGCACATGCACATACATACATACATACATACACCTACATTACGAACACACATTTGGTTTCATATATAAGATGGATGAGTGTGGGCTCTAGTTTGCGAGTCGTCGTTACTTCTGATTGTATTTTCTTCATTACTTTTGATTGTATTTTTTTCTTCTTTCAGCTAGGTGGTGTGTATCCACGACCGACAACAAACTGGAAGGAAAGGCACGAGACGTTTATTGATGCTGTTTCTTCATCGAAAAAGGTGGATTATGCAATAAAAACGGGTGCTCCACTACCGCCACCTCCAAGAACTGCAGTGCCCAGTGGTGAGATGTTTGACACACACTTTACTTTAGACCCCGGCCACACTTCGCTCAAAAGCGCTCAGAAGCGCTCAATAGCGCCCAAGGCGCCAAAAGACCCAAAAGCACCCAAAAGCGCCCAGATTTGTCTAAGGTCTCTTCCCTTTTTCAAGTGAGGAGAGATGAGAGAATTAGAGAAATTTGGGCGCTTTTGAGCGAAGTCTGGCCGGAGCCTTATTCTTTTCTAGCAATCATGCATCATTTGATGATTCCGTCTCTCTATCCACCGAGGGAAGGGGGTGACTACAGTCCGAATTACCGAAGTAACAATCGCGTTACAACAACAACGGCTTTCTCATTTTCTCCTACCTGATCAATCATATTTTCATACAATTCTTTTCCAGTGATCAAGATTCTTCAATTTACCATTTAAAATCGGTGCTCTCCTTAGAGTGTCTTTAGATAGATGAGGGATATATAGTCAAGCGCCAAAAGGCGCAGATCTTAAAAGTGTCGTTGTCATATTGGAGGATTTCTAGGTCAAGGAGTCAATTTGAGGATTCAGAAAGAATCAGATTAACGGTCTTTTCCACGAAACGTCCTCCCTTGCTGAGGCACTAAATCGTGACAGCATCTTTGTGCACGCCCCTAGCTTCAGCAATGAGTTTTTTGGTTACTATGGTACATTATCTCGTGGTACACAGTCATCGCGAGGGACGACTAAGAAGGGACGAAACAGCAGCGTTCTAGAAATCATGTAGGCTGACCTGAAATCTGGTAAAATTTTGAGTTCTCAAAACCGATTGGAAGACTAAGGGCCGCATGCATTAACATCCCTGCGGGTTCATACCCCAAAGCTCCAGATGTCTAATTCTACGATTCTATCTATCCGTAACTATTCCTGCAACCCTTCCCATGGACATATTGAGCAGTATACTTGGGGAAGTTCGAAACTTTTCGAGTGAATGAATGTCGAATAAATTCGAAAATAAATTTTTTTTTGAATAAACGAATATTGAATAAGAGATTTAAAAATTTTCGAATGAATGAATCCCGAATAAAATCGCAAAATCAAAGGTATCGAATGAATGAATATCGATTATATTCGAACATTGGGAGTCGAATTTCGAATAAATATTCGAATGATTTATCGAATAACTGGAATCTAAAACCTGCTGACATACCCAGCTAAACCGATTTATTCGTAATCAGCACTCTCATATCCCCATACCATCTCCCAGCTCCGTAGCTCAAGATCTTCCAAAAATTGGTAAAATCCATAAAGTAGTTTTTATTCATAATAAGGATCCTCGTTTACTCCATTATACCAACTCCTAGCCCCGTAGCTCAAAGTTTTCCAAACGATAAAATCAATAAAGTGAATTTTTATTTATTATCAGCACCCTCACTTAGCCCTCAACCCTCTTGTACTAACTTCCAGCCTTGCGGCTCAAAAATTCCAAAAAATCGGCCAAATCGATTAAGTAAATTTTTATTCATAGTCAGCACCCTCATACTCCCTATACCAACTGCCAGCCCCCGTCTAATTTTTTACTGCAGCCGTTTTCCTTTACTCAAAATAGCACTCGCGAAAAATCTCTGGAAATAGAATTGAGATAATTGTACAATGTAGCTTTTACAAGCAAGATTGCTTACCAGTGTGGCTTTGCGGACCAAAACCTTGAGCAAGCCAAAGGAAGAGAAATGGGCCTGTCGACGATATTTCCTTCTAGTATATGAACTCGGGCCATGAGCCTGAATTTGATAGCTGTTTGTTTGCTGATTTGGTGCCAATAGCAGTGCAGACTATCTCATTGATCAAAAAAGCAATCAATTAAAATCTATCTGATTTTAAACTGTCGCAAGGGGTTGGAGGGGAGCTTCAATACGGTCAGAGATGATCACGGCTGCAAAAAGGTGCATTATCGAGTTTTTGCGGACTGACTTTGGGTGAGTACGCCCATTTGCATGCGTATTTCCTGCTTTGGCAGTACCGGCGTCTCAGGCAGGTTCGGACCACAGGTGCGATAGGGTGAGAATGATTCCTCCAAGGTAAAGGGTGTTTCACTTGGTAGAGAAATTATAAAATGTCGACGGGGGGGGGGGGAGGGAGAGCCATGGTGTTTTCTCATCATTTTTCCTAGTCAAAGTTCATAATTTATTCCTTACCATCACTGGTTATCTTTTTTCTGAAATGTGAACCGAGCTGCTGGATTAGCATACAATTATGTTTCTGACCAGCACCTTGTATTTTTTTAACATTTCCTTTTCCTTTTTTACATCACCCTGTCTGTTTTTGGAATTACCATAGAAGATGTGTATGCGAGAACATTGTTTCGAAAAGAGTTAGACAATTTTTTAAGCGTCTACGAATTTTCTAAAAGAAGAAATTCGTAATTTCTGTAGATGAACAGCAACGTCAGCAAGGTAAATGTTTTTAAAACCATTTTGTCCTTCGCTTATAGAGCATATACAGGGTGTCCCAAAAGTATGTATACACGGTTTGATCGTTGATATCTCTCTTCCCAAGAAGTCTTTTGCCTTATTTCAGGTACCATTCTATAGAGCGAGGTTCAGCTTAGATTTGCAGCATAGAACGAATCATCCAGCTCTCTTCATTACTGTAGGATTACGGTAGAAATTCCAAAGAGGGTTCTGAGCCATGAAAGGCCATTTTTGCCTCAGAAAGGAAACAAAACAGCCTGGAAACTTTTACACTAGGCTAATTAGAGTTGCTGATCCTGACTGTTAAGTTCCCAACTTATTATGATGCTTCATTGAAAAGTTATGCCAGGTAAGCAGTAGCGGCCATTTTTTCAATGTTCCTAAAAAGTGAGGTTACGCCGTTGCGAAAGCTTTACAATCTTGTGAGTAGTTGAGTGAACTCAGCGTCCATAAAAACCCTATTACACAAGTTTCTACACTTTTTTTGAAAATTTGCGAAACTGCAGCTTTTTCCATATTGACAAATATGTTTCACGTTTCTGCCGTGATCCTACAGTAATGAAGAGCGATCGGTGATTCTCTCCATACTGTAACTCTAAGTTGAAGCCCGCTCTACAAAACGGTACCTAGAGCAAGGCAAAAAACTTCTTGTGAAGAAAGATATTAATTATCAAACAGTGTATACATAATTTTGGGACATCCTGTATAGTTTGCCTGTAGTCTGTTGAAAAAAGTGCATGGTGAAGGGTGTGGGTAGTAATTTCTGGATATTCACGAGTTTTTAGTGTAGAAAAATCCGTAACTTCTGAAGAGAACAGATTGTATATGAGGTGGTTACCGTTGGAACCGCCTCGTCCTCCGCTTTCAGAAAATATATACTTTGCCTGGGGTCCGTTAAAAAAGTGCTTGGGTGAAGGGTGTCCTAGTGATTTCTGGAGATTTTCGAGCTTTTAAAACTAAAAATTCATAACTTTTGTAGATGAACATATTGTACGCCGGTATGGTCACCATTGGAACCGCCTCGTCCTCCGCTTTCAGAAAATATATAATTTGCCTGCGGTTCATTACAAAAAGTGCCGGGTGAAGGGTGGGTGAGACTTTTATAATGGGAGTGCTCAAGTAGAGGCTTTTTTATCATTGTAAAAAGACGTTTACTTGAGCACTCCCATTACAAAAGTCTCACCCACCCTTCACCCGGGACTTTTTGTAACGAACACTAGGCATAGTATATATTTTCTGAAAGCGGAGGATGAGGCGGTTCTAATGGTGACCCCCGGCCTCTAGGACATTCTTCACCCAGGCACTTTCTTGAATGGATTTCAGACATGCTATATACTTTCTGAAAGCGGAGGATGAGGCGGTTTTAATGGTCACTATTTCCTTGTGCCGGCTATTCATCTACAAAATATATGATTTTTTATGTTCAAAACTCGTAAATGCCCAGATATCATTGAGCATACCTTTCATTAGTTACTTCTATGAACGGACGCAAAGAAATTATTCTCTGAAATCAGATGGGAACGTTGTGGGAACTTTTCTCGCTGACTTGCTGTGCAGCTACAAGAGCTACCATTTTTTTCCTCCTGGAAGTACATGAATGCCTATAAATCTTCTTCCTCCTTTCCGATGCACAAACAATTCTTGTACAAATATCTCCTTTGCTTAACCTTACCTCACTGTTGATTTTTTTCTCGGCTTTTGGTGAAGGGGGTCACCTTGGTCCCGGCTCAGGGGTGAAAGGGGAGTGAGCAAATTCTCACACTATCGTACCCGTGTTTGGAATAAAACATTCGAATAAAAACTATTTAAAATCCCGTTTTTTTGATTACTCTGGTTTTCAAATTTTATTCGGACCCTCGTTTTCTGATTATTCCAGTTTTCGAATTTTATTCGAAACCCAGTTTTCCAATTATTCGAGTTTCGAATTCCATTCGAAACTCCGTTCTTTGATTATTCAAGTTTCGAATACTATTCGGAAATGGAAGAACTCCGAATACCGAATTTCGAATGCGAATATATTCGAATGTTTTGTTTGAATGATCGCATTTTTATTCGATTTGGACCCGAGTATATTGTGCAGGAGCGAGAAGCTGTACAAGCAGCATTTTCCAGCTTTTTGTTTGATCCCCTTAAAGATCCCGGGCGACCGACCGTTTTTCCTCCAAAATCCATTTTCTTCATTCGAAGTTGACGAAAATCTTCCAAAGCTGTACTGATTATTTAACACAACGGTGCTAAGCATGTTGCTGGTAAGAACAAATGAGTTATGGAAAAATTGAATTTTTCGATAAAACTCAGCTTTCGACTTGCGGCTCATCGCAAATTTCATGACTCCAATACATCACTTGTTCTTATCAGCAACATGCTGAGCACTGTTGGTTAGATGATTTGTAGAACTTTGAAAAGCTTTTGTTCACTTCAAAGAAAGAAAACGGAGTTTGGAGAAAAAAGGTCGGTCGCAGGGGATCTTCAGGGGTATCATACAAAAAGCTGGGACATGCGGCTTGTACAGCTTCTTGCTCCTGTTCAATATGTACGTAGTAAAGGATGGTAAGAATACTTATGGGTAGGTAGACAGC